GAACATTGGCCTTCTATGGAATGTCTTGGCAAGATATGTGCCTGTCTCGTTCCTCATCCGATTGATAACATTTCCCCAAATCTCAAGACATGGCGGCGCATTTTCGACAGTGATTTTATACTAGATCAATTTATCCAACAGACGCACAGGTGTCAGCCGAGAGGATATCGGACTCATTACTTCGAGACAAAAACCCTGCCGCCAGGAACACGAGCCATCCTACGAATCGTTGGAAGTCGTGCCCTACTACCTAGTCTACAGGAAGGGTTCGGATCTTTGCAGTTCTGGCAATGTCTTGGCACAGAGGACAGATTTTACCAGTGCCTCTCAGAGATATCAACGGTATTCACATCAACGCCATCCCGGAACCACCTCTCTGTGTCTTCAATTTTGACATCGTTCCCGCTCATCTGTCTCTTGCGCATAAGCCCGTTCTCAGCAAAGGTCCAATCCTCGAGACCATACGTCCGCCACCATTGTCCCGACTCATCGTGCCACTCATACCAGAATTGGACGGCAATCTTGTTCCAATGGTCAGTGATCTCTCAACAGCGCAGCCACAGCTGCGGGGTCAACGGTGACTCTGGGGAGCTTACCTTGTCATCAGTGAAGGCGAACAACTCCTTGCGCAGTCGGTAGCCATTCTCCTTCTCCCACTTCTTGGTGAGCCATTGCTCAATCTCATCTCGACCCTGGAGAAAAGTGTCTCTGTTGCGCCAGATGGAGTCGGGCGTGTAAGCCATCTTCACTTTTGCGGGGTTTCTGCGGCGATGTCAGTGGGCGTCTGCTTCGGCTGCTGAGGGGCACGGACTTGGAGTTCCATCCATCCTGGGCCGCCTTCACCTTGATCCTCGCGGTTTCCTCGGTGAAGGGTGGGAACGGCGGTCTGGCTTCGTCTTGGCTGGTCATGATTCAAGCAATGCGATCTTTCCAAGTGATGATGCCTAAAGTCATGGAGCTATCGCCATGGCAAAGACAGCAGCTTTGAACATGTCAATCATGCTGGAAGGAGACACAAGCACCGGACGATGCAACCAATCACAGGCACAGGCTGCCGGGGGTTCGGCCTTTGTCAGCAGTCATCAGCGCCCTTGGCAAACACCGCGGGTTCTGCTCTTACGAAGCGACGTCAGATGAGGCGCAAAAATTTTGATTTTCAACCTTTCAGCTCTAGTTGAGATATTCCAATTTAGCTTGAGCATGATGAGTCTTTCAAACTTCAGATGGCTTGCGGAGTGAGCGCTACAGCAACAAGCAACGGCCGACGCCGGCGCAACTTCTGCCTCACCACACAGAGCCGCGCTGACTGCAGTTGCGGTCTGTCGTTGTGTGAACCAGGTACCGCAGGATTGACTTAACTGAGTCCAGGCAGCTGGTTCTTCAGACGATAAAAGTCAGGCAATTCTAGACAAGCACATGCTCGCCGACTTTGTACCATCTGCACGCCAATGACCACCAACATCCAGAAATGTCACGCCGCCCGGGTCTGGAGCACCCGGACCTCGCCATGATGACAAAAAGGCTCCCAGAGTCACAACGTCTTGGCACAGTAACTCCGAAGGACGTTGGTAGAAGGCCGACAGGCTGGATGCTCGGACGGCCGAGAGGGGCCCTTGTTCGCCTCCCCCCACCGGGGGGAGAGAGGCCGGGGATCGGAGCCCAAACGGACGCGGCATAAATTCCCGGTCTTGCGTCATGTCACTCTGTGGGCCGAAAAGGTGCGCATTTAGCTGGTGTTATCAGAGTTCAAGGTACATGTCATCTATTCGTACCTCCCCCATACGGATATTCTGTCTGTTGTCACTTTGAATGCTGTTGTTATCTACTCAGTACCTTACCTTGTACCTTGAGCAAGGGAAAAAAGATACTTTGCATCATGGCTTCCAAACGCGAAAGCGGGCAAACAAGAAAGACAACTCTCCAGAGTTCCGAGACAAATCAAACCGTAGAATGCCTCTTGTTAGTGCAACGGTAGGTCCCAGTGGACCGCACTTTTTTGCCCACTTGTATGCCCGTATTCGTCACAAAAAGACTACCTGTCGTGCCTGTGCCTGAGATGGTCGGCGGTGGTCCCAGGAAGGAGTGGCCGCCCCGCGGCTAAGGAGCGTAGTATCCGTATCTCAAATACAAATCATCACGAGCTCCACTTCCCTGGAAGCTCGCAGAATTGCGCCTGGGACCCTGACTCGGCGATCCCTCGATATCCCGCCCACCTACTAATTCGCCCTACCTTCCTTTCCTTTATCTGATCTTGTTTTCCCTTTCCTTCCATTCTTCAACCAAACACCCTACTACCAATCCACTCTCACATCTCCAACGCACTTCTCTCTTCACCAATTTCCTCAACCAACCCACACCAAATCATCAAAATGTCTGGTCTCAAGGTCGGCGAGCAGTTCCCCGAGGGCGTTGCCTTCCAGTACATCCCCCACCAGGAGGAGACTGCCGACTTCAAGGTCTGCGGTATCCCCATCAAGTACGACACCGCCAAGGGTAAGTCTCTCTCTATCAATCGAACCATCACAAGATCCTCTTGGCTAACTGCTCCCATCTCCCAACAGAGTTCAAGGACAAGAAGGTCGTCATCGTCTCCATCCCCGGTGCCTTCACTCCCACCTGCTCCGCCTCCCACCTGCCCGGCTACATTGAGCACAAGGACGAGCTCAAGGCCAAGGGCGTCGACCAGGTCATCTTCCTCGCCTACAACGACCCCTTTGTCATGTCCGGCTGGGGCAAGGCCAACAACATCAAGGACGACTTCATTGTGAGTTTTGCCCGTTTCTGTCTTGCTGTTTCTGTTGCATCTTTTTTCTTTTTCTTCTTCGACTTGTTTTCTCCAGCTAGCTCTAGCTGTGCTGTGCTGTTGCGTTGTGTTGTTTTACCCCTCCCCCTCTTTCCGTGGAGCTCACCCCTTCACCGACTCCGATAAACGCCGCCCGCCCCCCACCCCCACTCTGCCCCTCCTCAAGGGGGTGGGAAAAGAGTCTCAACATGATACCACGATACGCTCAAATCGCCTCACCCGCGAAGTTGCATTCGTGTCTTCTGTCTTCTCTCACCTTTCATCGCGCAATATCCCGGCCACCGTCACAAGCGTTGATGAACTAACCCGGTTTTCCCAGGTCTTCGCCTCCGACGCTAACGCCGCCTTCTCCACCTCCATCGGCTGGAACCACGGCGAGCGCACCGCCCGCTACGCCATCGTCATCGACCACGGCAAGGTCGTCTACGCCGAGAAGGAGACTGAGCTCCAGGGTCTCGAGGTCTCTGGCGCCGAGCCCGTTCTCAAGGCTCTGTAAAGAGTTGGTACCTTGTGCCACTTGAAGATTTAATGATTTTTGCGTTGGGCGGGTTCCTTTTTTTTACATGATGAGAAATGCCCAAGACATGGTCTCTTTTATAGACGAAAGAGGGGAAAGAAAGGGAAACCTTTTTCCGACGCGCGTTTAGAACAAAAGCTCATATTAGAATTTTGAACTTTCGTTAGACGAAGATTGGGGCGGTTTTCGGATCACGAAACCACTTTCTTCCGCTTATAGAATAGAGACAAAAACTGAATGGTTCATGAGACCTGGCCATGGTTCTGCCTAGCCTGAAATACTTGATCTGATGACTGGAACGTGAGCTGTTAGATGCTTCGGTAGAGCTAGTAGAGCAGACGGACTTCGTCTCGGTAGCGGGGCTCGGAGATGCGATATTGCCGCGAAGAGAGACGGACGGGGGGAAGGAACCACAGGAGGAGGGGATGGTTGTCTTTCCCCCGACGCAGGTCATGGTGTTGTTGGATACTTACACCGGGTAAGCTCTATTACGCAGATGTATGTTACATGTGCGGCTCGTTTCCATAATAGGCATGGTGCGGATAAACTTGGGGTATATTGACCCCAAAAGATGATGGATGTCCAGAGGTGTGTGTTTGATATGTTCTTGGAAAGAAAGGCTAGAGTATGATGTTTACTTGGAGTTTAACCAGCGGGCTTGATGTACTCGAGTGAGGACGAGGGTATGGATGTCTGTCGATGGCCGTCTTGTACAATGAGAGATGTGGTTTCTTTTCCCGCCTCATTTGCTGTTTTCTTCACGGCCTTTCGTGTGAAACGGTTTATCGAGCAGGGCGAGTTCTGGTGATGGCACGGCAAATTCTGAAAATACCCTCTCCCCCGCATGTCACTGCAAGATGGGAGAAGGGATTTCGAGCTTTGTGAACGTTTATCGTGTGGAGTAAGCTTCAGTCCTCATTCCGAGCGCGGGAAGCCGGGGGATCAAAGGAGTTCTACTGTCCCTCTACTTCCGTTGAGGGGAATACATGATGTGGCAGCCACTACGAAGCGCATTTTGTTTGATGCTTCTCCGGCTCGTAGCTTCGCTCCGGGAACAACGCAGGAAAGGGGACGGGAAGGGTTGAGCTCGTGGATGAGTCCCGGGATCTATTGCAGTACATCCGCCTCCAAGATCTCGGCGACTGTCTCCCTCGCATGTCAACCTCCAAGAATCACGTCACCATTCAAATGGTACAAAACACAACAAGACTAGTCACCAAAGTACGGGATTCGAGGATCAAAAACGTTGGTAAGAATCCCCCGTTGGGACAATTCCATGCAAATTCCGTGCTACCCGTGAGATTGTGTAGTTATAGAACCCCAAAGTCCCCGTTTCAAAGCACAATGAACCCTCGACTCCAATCAAGTTTTTTTTGAACCTGGTCGTATTGTGCCTTTCACCAATCGTTTGTTGTCAGAAGCGTTCGTTCCTTCTCGAAAAACGGTCTCCCCCTCACCAGCCGGAGGGTTGAAAGAAAAAAATCCTAACCCTCGGCCGGGATTGGTCGGTGGCCGTTTCTGTTCTTTGCTTCCCGCATGTCACACCAGCCTCACGCCGTCTCGACAGAGAAATGTTTTTACTCTTTTTTTATTTCATCATGTCAAGAGAAGAAAAACCCATCACGCAAACCCAAATTCTTTTCCCCAATCCTCAACGAGAGACTAGAAAAAAAAAGCTGTTTAACGGGTACGGGCCTGGACCTTGGGGGCGGCGCCCTTGGAGCCCTGCTTGGAGGCGATGGGGCCCTTCTTGCCACCGGCGGCGGCGGTCTTGGCCTTCTCGGCCTTCTTGGCGGCGGCGTCGGCGTTCTTCTTGTCCTTGGACTCCTTGATGGCGGCGGCGCGGGCGGCGGAGCGGGCCTCGGGGCGCATGGAGCGCTTCTCCTTGATCACATCGAGGGAGGCACCGACGATGGCACGCTGGGCCTTGACGGTGCGGCGGGTGCGCTTCTTGGCGACCTCCTGTTGTGGGGGTCAGTCATGTGCTTTCTACAAGGTCGAGGTTCGCGACGCGTGAAGGGGTTCGAGATATTACATCTCGAACGTGACCATGCGGCATCGTCGCGACGGTTTGGCACTCACCTCAGAGATACCCTTGCGGTGCTGGCGACGGTACAGGACGGTCCAGGCAATGCGGCGGGGGTTCTTGCGCTGGAGGAAGAGGGACTCGGACTTTCCGTTCTGGAAACGGAAGATCTTGGAGTCACCGCGGACGTAGAGCTTACCCTGTAGTCAGAGTCTCGTCAGCGTCTTGTTCCCATGCAGAGTGTTATGTCTTTGCCTCCTCCGTGAAGTCGTCTCCTTGCAATCATCTTTCCTTTTCCCGTCGATCAATCGTTGCCCCATGGCTTGCTCGTTCATCCAACTCGTTGCCCCTCATGTCCCATCTCTTCCATCTGGGGTTGAGCTCCCCGACTGCCCAGCCATGCTTTCAACAGGTTCCTTCGATCGACTGGGGGGAAAGATGATATCGGAGATATAGGGAAGGATGGGTGGCGTTGTCATCATCGTACCTTTCCAGGGTAGATTCTCTGTCCGGAGAACGTGTCGTCGTACGTGCGCATCTTGAATAATCAGTCAGAAAACAATTCCTCGAAAATTTTCGGAAGATCCTCCTGTAATCGACCCTCAATTCCTTCTCCTCGTCTGGCCCAGCGAAGTTGTTCGTGGAAAGCGGCTGTCTTTCGGAAATGGTGACGTTGCGGTTTTGTTGGGTAATCGCTAGGCCAGCAGTCGGAAGGAAAAAAATCGAGGGTCGACCGGACGAGGGGGTAATCTATTGAACGTACATTGGCGGTATTGAATGCGAACGTTGGCTGACTTGTCGATGAGGTCAAAGGGTTCGGGAAGGGGAGGGTAAGACCAGGCTGGCACTCTTCGCGAGATTCTACAATTTTCGACTCTGGTTCGGAAATTCGTCGTGGGAGGGTAGAATAGCCTAGTGGGCGTCAACCCTACGCGGACGGGACGAAAGAGTGGGTCGGCTTGGTGGTGTATGTGTCACGTGGAGATAGCCATTACCGATATTGAGGTGGTTGACTCGAACTGCGCCACATATTGGTAGAGTGCAGTGGATTTGTGGCTTGCCTGGTCCAGAAGCCCCACTCTCAACTTCAAGTCGAGATGTGCACCTACGACACAGGTTCTTGCTTGAGAGAAAATGTCGAACGGATACCGGTGATGAAAAGTTGGCTTAAGGTGACGAGACCGCTTATGAGAATATCACGGCCGCTGAAAATGCCAGCCGACCCCGATGAGATCGCAGATGTTGTCCTAGGGCGGTTCAAGAAGCTACCTACAAAACGCAAGCCCCAGGTTAGAGACAATGGCCTACATGAATGGGTTCCCCTGAGCGGCATTGTTGCCGAAAAAGATGGCGTCTTAACTTGTCTCTCACTCGCGTAAGTAAGATGGTCATGTGTATGTTATCGTGTGGATGATCTCGGGTCATACAACTTGTAGTTACTTCATGTGGCACATCATACTTCAGACTCTGGATCTCATATTTCTTAGTTCACGATATTCTATATGGACAATACTCCTCGTAGCTTCCACGATACGTAGCAATACCAGACATCATTATCTCATAAATGTCATCAATGACCACTTGACTAACACCTACCACAGAACGGGCATGAAGTGTCTCCCAGCCAGCAAACTCCCCCTGGCAAAAGGAAACGCCCTCCACGACTGGCATGCCGAAGTCCTCGCCATCCGCGCCTTCAACCGCTATCTCCTGGACGAATGCGACACCCACTCGCAGGGCAGCTCGCCCACCTCAGATATCATTACAAGACGCCCACCCTCCGCCATCTCCCCCTCCTCACCCCAACTCTTTGCAATCAGAGACGACGTCACCCTACACATGTACTGCTCCGAAGCCCCCTGCGGCGATGCAAGCATGGAACTCACCATGGCCGCCCAAGAAGATGCTTCACCCTGGGAACTGCCTCCGTCCTCAGCCTCTCCATCCGGCACGACTACTACGCCACCTCCCCAGACAACAACAGACACAACCCCCCTCCCAGGAAGAGCCTACTTCTCCCACCTAGGCATCGTCCGCCGCAAACCAGCCCGCGGCGACGCGCCGCCGACCACCTCGAAATCCTGCTCCGACAAGCTCGCGCTCAAACAGTGCACCTCCCTCCTCGCCTCGCTGGCATCCCTGCTGATCCACCCAGGCAACGCCTACATCTCGTCCGTTATCCTCCCGGAATCGGAGTACTCCGCTACAGGCTGCGAGCGCGCCTTCTCAGCAAGCGGACGGATGAAGGCCGTAGTGGATGAAGCGGCGCGTTGGAAGGGTGGACACCGGTTCTCGCCGTTCGAGGTGCGGACCACGTCTAGAGAATTTGAGTTCTCGAAACGGATGGTTAGGAGGAAGGCTGGGGCGGATAAGATTGCGGCGAGTAACCTCGCTGCTGCCTGGACACGCGGTGGTGGTGTTGATGAGGGGACGATGGGCGGCGTGCTGCAGGGGCGGAAGGCATTTGATGTCCGGGGCGCGAGCTTGGTTTCCAGGCGGAGGATGTGGGAGCTCGCGGCGGCGGTGGCGGAGCGGGTGGCCACGGAAGGTGGTGACGACGATGAGGTTGGGGGGTTGCTGCGGCGGGCGTTGGATGTTGATGCGTATGGCAAGGTCAAGGGCGGGGAGATGCTTGTTTATCGGAGGGAGGTCAAGGAGGCTGCGAGGAGGGTTGCGTTGGCGGGGTGGGTTGTCAATATTGGGGATGAGGACTTTGCGAGGTTGTAGGATGGAATTCGTCACGGTGGTATGGATGCTAAAAGACACGAGTGCGGCGCAATTGGAAAATCATTTTGTATCACTCTTAGCATCTTCATCGACTCACCATCTCATCACGCTGTGAGTCTAGATTGTTGACCTTGTCGAGACTACAATACTGCGCAGTTTGGACATGAACGGTGAGTCTTCAGCGTCTCCCAGGAGCCTGACTTCCTCTCACCGTCTCACGTCCACAACGACGCACACAATTTCAACCGCTGGGAAACAACTTGGGAGCGTCTTCGTATCGATCCATTTTTGCGTTGGAAGTCAAGTTTGTATCTCGTTAATTTTTCCCATTCCTTAAAACCCACACGCTCGTTCATAGATGATAGGCAATCCACGGAACCCAAGGACGGTTTCGATCAAAAAAAGTATCTCTCTTCTCCCTCGAACTCCCATGACAAAAAGTATAAAGGTAGTCGCAGAGGGGTGGCACCGTTTGGTTTGGGAGCTTTTTTTCATTTATTGATCTTTTTTCGGCAAATCTTTCATCTTCTGTTGTGAAGTATTTCGCCGCTTACTCGACCTTGCTCTCAAAGTTCTCACCCTCGACCAGGTCGGGGATGTCGTCCTCCTCGCCGTCCTTGCCCTCCTTCTGCATGTTCTGGTAGCTCTCGGCGAGCTTGCGGAGCGAGGCGAGGGAGTCGGGGCCGAGCTGGTTGAGGATGCCGGGGACGAGCTCGGTGAGCTCCTTGTCCTCACCGTTGCCGTAGATGGCGAAGGTGTTGGCGGGGACGGCAGCGTGGACTGGAAGAGTTTCATCTTTAGTATACGTCAAGGTACTTCTTCGTGCGATGAGAGAGGAATGGGAGGGTAGAAGAGCTATCCTCTGGTGGAGGAACAGAGGTGCATCGGAAAAGAGGACGTGAACGGTGATGGTGGTAGCTTGGTGGTCATTTACCCTTGGGAGCAGCAAAGTGGATGACGTTGCCGTCAGACTTGAACATGTTGACCTCCTCAATGGCCTGGATGGGCTGGACGTTGAGCTTCTTCAGGGCAGCCTGGAGCTTCTTGTCGTCGGCGGCGGAGCGCGCGGGCGCACGCTTCATCTTGCGGCGGGGAGTGCCCTTGCCGCTATCGTCGGGCGAAGCATCGATACGTTAGTCATCATTTCCTCTTTGTAAACATTCCGCGAATGAGCGGGTTCGAGAATTGTGTTTGTAGGCAATTTTGTCTTTTTTTCTGGATATTTCGCGGTGTTCTCGGTGAGGGAAAGGGTGTAGGGAAAAAATGAGGGGTCAATTTTCGGAGGTTCACACATACCCTGCGCATCGCGTATATTAGCTACCAATTTCAAAACCGACAGCATTACGACAGCATAGAGACAAAAGACATTGACGCAGACATACCGATACGCGCGGAGGCGCCGAGCTTCTTGAGGCGTTCCTGGACGTCCGACATGGTGGGCAGATTGGCTCGAAAATTGACGAGTTTGGGGAGGGAGAGGGACGGTTTGGCGTGGTGGTTTTGCGGGTGGGGGAAAGGGAAGCAAGCTGGTGCTGTGCGGTCGTCCTCAGGGCAATTAGCAAAAATGTGTGGTATGGAGGTGGGAAAAACCCGGGCGGGCAGCGGCCGGCCGACCCCCCTCAGGCGAGGACGGGAGCTACGACCACACGCATATTCCCACCCCGCCCTCTTTCCTTTCCCTTCCCGACCCGTGTGTGCAGCGCCCGAGGGAAGTAAATTTCACTGAGGTGGGCAAACTACTCACCGTGATTCGTCTATTGTTTGTCACACGTTGAATTATCTACCACAAGGCTGAAGCCGGCTCTGCCAACTTTGCATGATAAGGGTGATGCAATGATGGAGGTTTTGTGCGTGCCAAGAATTCCCTTCGCTTGCGGAAATAGTATTGTGCCGAGGTACGTTCCTTTTCTGGACCTCACCGAAAGTTCACCGAATGAGGTGGGGCCAGCTGAGTGATGAGCTTTTCGGCTTACCTCCTCGAGCGGTGTTGAACTAGGTTAATTCTCTGCGTCACTGACAATCAATGTCTCCTGGCACGATGCAGGCTATCATGTCTCCATCAACATGCCGATATCAACCCGGGCATCCCAAGAACGCAACACTACTGCCGCGTAGTCTGTCAATTTCATCCAAATATCTTTGAGCCCTCAAACGCCTGCAAGCAACCCTCAGAGGTCAGCATGGTATCTTTCGTTGTTATACAGCCAAACATGGCATAATCCCAGACCCTCCGAGACCACGTTGATATAGTACAGTCCGTCGCAGAGCGGCGGGATATCAGTCCAAGTCATCCGACATTCCCGACTCCTTGCGCATCGCCGCTTGCTGTGCCTTGAGATCTGCCTCTCTCCTCCTCTGTTCATTCACGCGTGCCTGCTTTTGTCTCTCAATATCTTCGTCTCGCACCGTCCAGACTGTTGACTGTGTTAGCTTCATGCTGAACCATAATTCCACGATATGACTGGCGTACTCGGCTTGTTCGACTTGGAGTATTCCTTCAGCTTCGTAACAAACTGGTCAAACTCCTCCTGCGTCTTTTCGCGGTTCGCAAGACTCCTGGCCTGTAGCTCGGGGTTGTATCTCTTGAAGAGCTCCTCTTCCGTCGGCGACACCCACATGGTGAAGGCCGGGCCGCCCACGCAAAAGATCCCACCACTGTGCCTATCTGTCAGTTCGCCATTCTCTGCAGACCTTGAAGAGTCTCAACGTACCCAAGCAGCATCTTTCCCCACAACTTCCAGTTCGTAGCCTTCTTTGTCGCCATGGTGATTGAGTTTGTGCGATGCGGTGCGATAGCAGGTGGGCTGTGACGATTTGGCGAAGCTCTGGCAATGGAGGCTTGAGTTTGGGGCTTTGCGACACAGAGGCAGCCCTCTCACAATCGATGACGAACCTGACGCGCTTGATTGGAGATCTACCAGCAGAGACCCAATTTGGAAGGCGGTGGGAAGCTGCCATCTCGTGCACCCTTAGGTAAGCTTGGACTCGATGACTTACGGTGGTCCATGCGCTCTCTTGAGATGGTGTGGCTAACGCTTCCCGTGGGACATCAGCTTTCATCCGCATATTCTTAGACTGGAAGTTCACGCACCAATGCGAACAAGACTCGGGCTCAAGTCCGTTCGAAAGTGTGGCGCCCTACACCATCAACTTCCCATGATCGTCAAAACCCACAGACCAGTTCTCATCTTCCCAGCACATCTCTGCAACCTCGTGGCGCAGGCGGAAGACCACATGTCCGAGGGGGCTGTGCTCACTGTCAACAAAACGTTTGTGGTTGGATGATGCCACAACCCATTTGGAGACAAGCAACGCTCCAAATCGACATGCAGGAACGCAAGAAAACGCTTCCCGTGCTCCCCTCCCCAATGACAGGACGAAATCGAGCACCAACCCTCGTGAGTTACGGCGGGATATCCCCCAGAAAGGGAGGCCACCTACGGTGCATCAGAAGCCCATGTGCCGGCCAAGCCTTCAGTAGTAACTGGCGACGACGGCGCAGCCGCCCTTCGATGTCAGTCACGATTTGTCTACTCTCTGTCGTGGTGGCGAAAAGACATCAAAAGGTCTCCGCCTCCAGGGGCATAGTGTCTTCCACGCGTCTGAGGGCTTCCTATGCATCGTGATTTGACCGTTGAGGATTCAAGCCATCAACCCCACCTCACATGGAAACGCCGGTCTTGGCCGCTCAGCCATTCCTTCGAGACGGGAAAGAAAACGCTTTACTCCGAACGGGACGGAAGCTGACGAAATGCCTAACCCACCTCACCGCATGCTTGGCCGCTTGGCCGTACGTTGACCGGCCCGAACGGCCTTCCTATTCGACCTTGGTCGTTTCCACACTAGATGTGGTAGAGAAGTGGAGGCGACGAAGGCGAACGTCGTAAAGCAATACGATAGGGTAGAGGCCTCCCGAGCGTGACCAGAGAGGCTGATATACCGTCGACGAATAGCAAGACTGTAGAGACTTCGTCACCAGGTCATCCGGTCATTGCTCTTGAGTTCTTGCAAAGCGATTTTCCCGCTACCTTAGATGATGCATTCCCAAGTAAGAAGGAATGCCGCAACGAAAAGTAGGGACTAGCTGCGCTGCCTCGGGGTGGTTGCATAAACAGGCATTGCTGTCACTGAATCCCACAACCGTTCACCGGCACCAGTTCAGTACGGTATACCAGCACCCGCGCTCCGGGCAACAGGACGGGAGTCGACGGGAAGCGAGAGAGATGAGACGAAATGTCGCGGACAGGCTCGGCGCACAGAGACTTTACGAACCTAATTGCCCCTCGTCTCGCCGAGGGTCCTGTCGGTGCACCAGAACACCAGACACACCGGAAAACGGGGTTCAACAGGACAGGAGCCTGGACTGTTTCCGCACCCTTGCTTTTTCGGTTCTCGATACTTGGGGATAGGGTTGTTCTCCTACTCTCCTGATAAATTGCTTCTTGTTTTGAGAAGAGGTGAGCAGGAGCCGAGTAACAGCCGGGCCCCTGATGCTCACGGCTGACTGCTGAAGGGTGATAATACTGGATCCCCATAAGGCAGACTCCATGGGAACAGCAGACTCAAAAGGGGCTTCAGGCCAATGAGGTTTGCCACTGGGGAGTTTCTGATACAGCGCTCTTGTCGTGTGTACCTCGAGAGAGAGAGACGCGGAGCTAAAATGCATTGCAGTAATGCTCATTCAACGGGTCTTAGGGGGTTTGTGATTGATCCCTGCTTCTTAATAAGGCACATTGTGCGGCCCGGGTCAGGCAGGCAGTCAAGTGAGAGCAGGCGACATGCCTGATCAGCGTCGTTTTTCTTAGGGCACAAGATTGCATCGCTTGCGGTGGCTGATAGGATAGGTTTCCGTACTGGAAAGATCAAAAAGGAAGAGGTTGTCAGATGAAGCTTTTTGGGGGTGTTGCCATAGAGGCACCTAATTGAGGTTGGAATGTCTCTGGTCCTATCTGCCTCGTGACGACGAAGACGGAAACGGCATGGTAGTTGCAAATCATTCGTTGAAGACAACTGTGACATTCCATTGATGGTTGCTGAACTGACGTCTTTTTTCTTTTCTATTCGCAAAGTGAATGAATGAGTGTGGAGGGGAAATGGGTTGTGGAATGCAAAGGCTGGGAAGCATGGAGTCAATGGACCCATCCACTCGGAGTACCTAACGGTAGGTACCTACGAATGGGCCCAGTCATGCCAGTGAGGTGCGGTACCTTACCGTGGCCATGACCTCAGTTCCACGCCGCGACGCTGGGAAGACCCTCGTTGCAGCGCTCGGATGAACCTTTCCTGTGAGGGCTTCGTGCTGCGGCTGTCCAGGGTAATGGTATACTTCGCTGAGGGCGAGAGGGTAGAAAAGCGAGAGATATGCAAATTGTCGTGGGGCCGGCGGCGCTTCAGGCATGGTTGCCCAACTGATCCGGGATATCCTCTCTCTCAAGCTGCAGTATGTAATCTATCCGGTCTGTAAGCTGATGGGCGGGTCACGGGAGGCCCCAGAGAAATAAGAGTATAAGACCCAGATGAAAAGATTAATGTTGTTGTGAATGTGACGAGCAGGCTGGCGCAAATTGAAGGCGGTGCTCCTGTTGGATCCCGCTTCATTCAATGCGCCTGAAGTTCTGAAGTACATACAGTACAGTACTGATAGGCTGTAGCCCCTTCCCCCCTCTGCAAAGTCACTCAAAGTTCTCCGTAAGAGTAACCTTAAGCTAGCAGCGGCAGTGCGAACGCTGCTTCCGTACCTTGCCTTAGTGAGGTACTTTATTACTTGCCTTAGTAGCGCAAGTACCGAAGTAGCGTCGTATTGAGTGGATGAGCTTCGTCTCTGGTATTGAAACCATCTTGACAGGCCAAAAGGTACGGATCCTGGTGACCATGAGGACAGTGATGACAGAAAACGACAATCATCGACGCCGTTCGATAGCTGTCGCTTCTACCATCCACAGACTACTTTGAGCAACGTGTTGATACCAGGGATAACGATTACAGAGCACGTCCGGGTGGCATATCATCACTTGTTCGGTACCTTAATGTGAGATCAGGAACCTTGGAGAAAGGTATGATAGGGAAGCAGGAGCGACATGGACAGACGGAAGGACACGGCCCCGACAGGCGCCTTCTCAAACACGCTGTCGTCATTTTGTCGCTGTTGCTCAGGGACCTTAATTTGTTCCTTTTTCTGCAACAAACAAGACGCAGACAGCAGTCCTGCATTGCCGTATCTTAGTTTGTATGTTGCCAACGCTGCTAAGACAATCCAACTCATTTCATGAGTTCAAGTAATGTAGGCAGGTAGACACCACGCAGTTGTATTCCACGGACTTGATTGTAATGTGAGGTGGTGCGAACGAGAGGTAGAAGAAAGGTACAAAAGGTACATGGCCATGGGAGCACTTGCCTTCCATGACAACCGCCGCAGGAACGCCCCGTAACCGGGGACCCTGGGAAAGCGAGACACCACCTCCCCGATGCTCCAATGCTTTCCACCCTCCACAATCCATCTCTCTGCGAAAAGGAAAGGTACCTTTTCGCCCCGTGCCTTACATGCGCGAATCGAGGTACCCGTTCCCCCCGGGCGCTCGTCCAACAACCCAATCCCGTCCACGCATCCTGCCCAGTCCAGTCAAAATCCTTCTTCCCCCAGTCTTCCGTCTTGTCTTAATTCATCTGCGCGTTGCACCGCATCCGACAGCGTCTCCTGAGGTGCTTTGCTCTTCTTCTCTTCCACCAGCAAATTCCCTCCCGTGTCCCAGTCCCAATCCACACACCCGTACGAATACCTACCGCACCGCACACACGTCGTTCCTTCGGTGTGTGGACTTGTGGACGCGTGCATGAGCTAGACCTCTTCCTCGCTCTCTATCTCTTACCCATACCCTTTACGAATATCCGTACCCTCCTCCCACTCAACGCCCTCTCCTTAAGCAACCTGAGTTGCTCAACCTTGAACGGCACGGCCATAATAATACACAAACTGCCCACACAAGAGAGAGCTCGGCCCAACCTCATCCACCCCTCCAACATCAACTTCTATTTGCATCCCCACTGCTGCACTCCGTCAACTGCCACCAATAGACGCCGTGTTCTGGAAACACCTGCGATCTCCCCTTAACGGCTGCTCTATTGAACCTACTACCCAGCATTGCCCAACGCGCGGCTCTACTTCATTTCTTATTCTCTCCTTTTCCCTTTTCCCTCTCTCTCTCTATCGGTTACTACTCCCCTTGAAATTCGGCTCACTCCGTCCTGCGCGCACCGAACCCCTCGAAATTGCAGTGGACTGTTCTCTCGTCCCGGATACCAACTCGAATCGTCCGCTCTCGCGCATAGCCTGGCCCGCCGAAACTGTCGATCAACATTGAGCCGAAACGTGCGGAATCCCAGCCTACAAGACCACAACAAACCCCCGCCAACCCTTGGCCTTCTCGTCAACGTCAGCTATGCGCCTGTTGTAGTCTGTCCAATTCCACAAAGCTGTGGAGCTACATCTAATTTTCTCCTTTACGGTAACCTTATGCGATCCCGGGCCGCTTAGGAGCTGTTACCGAAACCAACACTTTTCCGACCTCGAACCACCCATCTTTTTACTCCAACATACACCCCAAAAACACACTCGACCGAAACCCGCACATTGCGCCACTAAAATCGAAAAGTCCGCGACACGATTCCGACACGAGAAGTGGTGGCATAGCAGACGATGGCAGGATATCCGGGTCAGCGTCCTTATGGCGGTGGCCCTCCCGCGCCTCGTCCTGGACCCGGCCCCGGCCCAGCGCCCGCGCAGCGGGGTCCTCCTCAGCAGTATGACAACTACCAGCAGGACGGATATGGCTACGACTACTATGATGACGGCGGCTACGATCAAAACTATGGCGGTCAATACCAGGACCCAAACTACGGCAGAGGTCCGCCGCCGAATCAAGGCTACCCGCCGCAGGATTACTATGGTGGCGGCCCAGGGCCCAATGGCCCGCCAAGAGGAGGGCGACCGCCTCAAACGGGAAGAGGTGGTCCTATTGCACGTCCTCCGACCGCAGATGGCACTCGCGGCGGATACCCGCCTCGTGGCGGTGGCGGTCCCCCAGGCCGAGGAGGTTTCCCCATGGGCCGGGGTGGCCGTCCCGCTCCGTATGAGCGATCGGCCAATTCAGATCCAGCTGGTGAGTTGCATGCGTGCCATTCGTGCCCTTGTATACTAACCAGTCCTAGCAAACCGTCCTCGAGAACACGCGCCGATCAGTCCTCCTGGCGCCCAGGGATTCAGTGGTGGCGCTTTTCCGTCATTTCCAGGACAAGGCCGTAAGACGGACCTAGATGCTGAAAATGCGATTCTGAACAAGATGGCCGGAATCGACATCTCATCCCAACCTGTCCAGCAGCGGCCTCCTGGTGGACCTCCGAATGGCAGAGCGCCGCCACCCCGTGGCTACTCTGACCCGCGGCGTGGTCCTGAGCCAGGTTACGGACAAGACTTCCGAGGAGATAGCTACGGCCAGCAAGGCCCTCCGAGGGACGACTTCGGTCCGCCTTCTAGAAGCATGACCATGCCGATTAACGACCAAGCGCAAAGGCGCGGACCTCCGCCACGCCAGGACACATATGGTGGCCCAGGGGGACCGCCACGTGGTGGTGTTCCCCCTCGGCCTTCAACAGCGCAAGGAAATCGGCCCCCACCGCAGCGCATGTATCCCCCAAACCCGATGCCTCCGCCGCCGCAGCAACAGCAGCAGCAACTGCCTCCGCCTCAAAATGCAGGGTATGGGGGTCATGGAGAGTTCGGAGGCGATCAGGACGGATACCGAGATACTAGAGCGTCGTTCGGCGACGTCTACGACGCCTATTACCAACCTTCTCGCATGAGTATTCAAAGCGCCCACAGTCATGGGCATCACGATGCTCCCGACTACAATGGGGCACCATCGCATGCTCCTCGTGGTTCTTTCGAACAGCACATGCGCCCAGGCATTGCCGAACACACGCAGCCGGGCGCTAAGCGCGTTCCGGAGATGAGTCGGACCAAATCGCAGCCAGATCTCCGACAGTCGCAGCAGGCTGTGTTTGAGATGGCCGGCGACGCTCCTCCGATGCCGCCAATGGGCAACGGCTACCAGGACGTGTATAACCAACCCAACGGCTGGGACCAACCACAGAACCCGCAGATGGGGCGTCCTGGCTTGCCCCAAGGCCCTTCTCCTAATCGAGGCCCCGATTCTCTGCCATCTCATCCGGCCCCCGTCCGACCTGGCCACATGCCGAATTCCATGGTCAACATGAATGACAAGCCCGCGCCTGTTCGCAACTACGCCGGCGCTCCTGGCGTAAACGTGCCGACACCTCCTGCCGGTCCTGGCGGCGCACCTCCGCCTCAGCAGCAAATGCTCCCTCAGCAACCTAGCAAGGCTTCGCTTCAAGAAACAACACCCGTTACCCAGGAAGAGCTAGAGCGTCTACGCCAGGTTGTCAAGTCAACACCGAATGATCAAGAGACTGCCATGAGACTGGCGAAGCGACTGGTGGAGGCGGCCGATGTTCTGGCCCCGAATCTTGCCGATCCGAAGATGAAGACCCGTGCCCGGGAGAGATATCTTGCCGACGCAAACAAGATCCTCAAGAAGCTGTCGAGCGCGCAAAACTCTGAGGCAATGTTCTTCTATGCCGACTGCCTAGGCCGTGGCTTGTTTGGACTTGAGCCTGATAACAAGGAGGCTTTCACATTGTACCAGTCGGCTGCTAAGCTCGGACATGCGGCTGCGGCGTACAGGACGGCAGTCTGCTGTGAGATTGGCCACGAAGAAGGTGGCGGCACAAGAAAGGATCCCCTCAAGGCGATCCAATGGTATAAGAGAGCTGCCACGCTCGGCGATACGCCAGCCATGTACAAGGTTGGCATGATCTTGCTCAAGGGGCTTCTTGGCCAGCCAAAGAACCCTCGTGAAGCTGTAGGGTGGCTCAAGAGAGCTGCGGAAAGAGCTGACGCGGAGAATCCTCACGCATTGCATGAATTGGGTCTGCTCTACGAATCTGCAGCCCCCAATGATGCCATTATCAAGGACGAAGCTTATGCCTTCCAGTTGTTCCGAGAGGCGGCTGACCTCGGCTACAAATTTTCACAATATCGTCTCGGTTGCGCCTTCGAGTATGGTCTGATGGGCTGCCCCGTTGACCCCCGCCAGTCCATTATGTGGTACTCCCGCGCAGCTCAGCAAGGCGAGCACCAGTCTGAGCTGTCACTCAGTGGATGGTACCTTACTGGCACCGATAATGTCTTGCAGCAGAGCGATACCGAGGCTTACCTGTGGGCGCGCAAGGCTGCCACGGCCGGTCTGGCCAAGGCTGAGTACGCGATGGGTTACTTTACCGAGGTGGGCATTGGTGTGCCAGCCAACATGGAGGATGCAAAGCGATGGTACTGGAGAGCAGCTGGTAAGTTGCGATTGCTTGTGTGTTTGCGATGTATGCTGACCCATTTTACAGCCCAAGATTTCCCCAAGGCACGTGAACGGCTCGAAGACCTTAAGCGCGCCGGCAAGAACGGACCCCGGCAGCGCGAGCGTATTTCTCGCAGCAAGATCGGCAAGCAACAAGAGGGCGAGTGCTCCGTCATGTAGGCGGCAAGGCATGACCCAATACAACAACTTGATGTAACACGAGCGGTCCGGGCTGGGTTCCTGTGTCGACCGCAACGACGACCACGAACAGAGGATGAAGAGACGACGACGAGGTACAACTCTGTGTACTTGTACGGCATCAACCGACAACAGGATGTTTGATCTATACGGAACAGGAAAGAAAAGGCTCACGAAAGAAGGAAGAGAATAGGGGAAAGCCACAACAGGCGTTCTGGACAAATGGTAGTCTAATTTCCTCCATTGGATGGGAGGCTCCTTTGTTTGATAGGGAGGTCACTCATATTCTCCTTCTTCCCCATACAGGTCCATGGAATGAGAATGGCTCTGATGAGGGGCTGGATTTCAAGCGTTCATGTCAATATCTCATCTGAGGGCAGGTTGACATGGCTCATACAGCCAAATTTGGCGTTTAGCATATATAATTATCCATCAACGTCTTTTTTGATGCTCTATTGCTTTCTAACACTTGGTTTATTTCCTAACTTGAGGTTACTACAGGAAGCTTGAGACTTAATCAATGTTACCTTGCTTGCGTACGAGGTACTTGGCGAGTGAAATCAGTTCCCTCTTCCCTACCGATTTCCCCTAACAAAACTATTCGATTATAATGACATTAGATTTGCTTGATTCTCCATAGGCGATTTGCATCTCACTTCGGAGCCGTAGAAAAGGGGGGGAGGGTAGAGTGGCTGTAGCTGCGACTGCCAACAGGTGAGTCTCGTTCGGTTTCGGTCTCGGGTCGTGTTTGTGCAGTGAGGCTGAGGTTCTCGAAAACCCGGGGTTACGATGGTTTGTGTGGGACGATGAGGGTTCCTTGGCTGTATTACTTGCTAATTTTAGTTCGAGGTAGTCCGAGCGAGGCAGAATGGTCCTTTCTACTAAGGTCAAGTAGGTTGGTGGGTAAGATAGGCGGCGAGGAATGTTTCTTTGGCGGGGAGTTTCGTGCGGCCCGGGACGAATTTTGGGGGACGACAGTCCGGAGGTTGCGGCGCCGGGCCGGAGGACCTGTCGGCTTGGAGGATGCGGATGATTCCGGGGGGGGGGGGGGGGGGGGGGGTTGGGGGGGGGGGGGGGTGGGGGTGGGGGGGGGGGGGGGGGGGTGTGGGGGGGGGGGGGGGGGGGGGGGGGGGGGGGGGGGGGGGGGGGGGGGGGGGGGGGGGGGGGGGGGGGGGGGGGGGGGGGGGGGGGGGAGCATATGGTCTGGATGTGTAGGAGATTCGCATCCTGATAGTGGCACGAATAACCTTCCTTAGTAGGTCGCGATTTATTCGCTACGAATTTGATGTGTAAGCCTCACCGCGTATCCATGCATGAGCCGCCGTGTCCTACCTAGTAGGTACCCTCCCTATCTTACCTGAACTTCATGTACGAGATCCCGTCTTCTCTAGACGAGATTGATGAATCAGGGGAAGGAAGGAATGCCCTCGAGGTACCTGCCCCCCTTCCTTCCATCTGAATGTACGGGAAGGGTATATGGCCCCCCTCAATCCCATTCCTGTCACCAGCCAGCAGGCGCCTCCCTTTGGGAGGTCAGGTCAAAACTGGCTGGGTGGTGGAGTGGTTGAAGTCCACGAACAGCTTAATCGGTGAAGGCTTAGAGGTCCCGTGTTCGAGTCCCAGCATGTGCGCCAGAGATGTAGCCCCCGTTCGCCACCGGGGGGGTGAACTCTTTTGCCTTTTTGGATCTTGGTTTCGCGGTAGATGTACATCGTGGATACTGGTTAGGAATGCAAAGCTTTCCATGCAGTGCGATGTTGAATTTCTCCTCGTTCAATCTTGCTCCTTTCTACTATTGCTTCAGCCTTTCTCTCACGGCACCTCTTCCGCCTGAGTATCAACATCGAACGAGAGGTAACCTCTAGAGAGGATTAGTGGAGGAGCGGAAAAACCATGCGGGATTTTGAGTATTTGAATTATATAAGTGCAGATTCATTCGTCTTCCAAGTAAACTTCTAAATTTCTCGTGTCTCTCCAAGCTAAACTAGCAATATGAATATGCTCACCGTAGCAGCAACCAACAACGGCCCCCAACTCGAAGAAACCGAGCCAAATGCGCTGCTCGTCGCAACCTGAGTCGAATTCACCCTCATACAGTGAATATTCGGCCTCGCCAACTTGATATTCCACCGCTCCTCCCCAACCCACGTATTGAAAATCAGAATCTGCACGCGGTTCGAGGCATTCAGATACGCTTCCCTCGCATCCCCGCCATCAACCAACCCGCTCCCGAACCCCATAATCTCACTCCCACTTGCGACCGGCGACGTGCTCTCCCCCGTCGTTGGGGTGGAATTACTCGTTACGTTGGGGTTGAGGTTACTCGTCCTAGCTCCATAAATCACGGCACCATACCCGAACGTGGTATTACACTCCGGGATAGTCTTCCACGAGGGCATTCTTCCGTCGCAGCTATCTCGGGTGAGGGATTTATCGGAGGCGTGGAGGGCTTCGAGACATGCTTCGCCTAGGACGGGTTCGCAGTCCGTGCTGTTGCCATTCTCCTCGGTCCAGAGGTTGGTGACGTTGGGAGAGAACTCGACGTCTAGAGACGTTACGCAAAAGGGAGAATCAGAGCCGCGGAGACCGCTGGATGAAAGGTTTCCTCCGAGGGGCCAGGATAGGGAGTATGAGGTGGCGATGTAGTGCGGTTCGGTGATGTTTCGGCCTAGGTTTGCCTCTGTGGTGTTTTGGGTGAGGTGGGGAAGACTGAAGTCGGATATGTTTACGCCTGGTGGTGAGATGTAAGTCTACACAAGTACTTTTCAGTGTCGGGAAGAGGGAGTTAGAATCGTACGCCATGTCCATTCGTCTTGTCCGAGCAGCCGAGCGTTGCCTGAGAAGACCTCAAAGGGGCGGAACGATATTTGACGCGTGGCGTTGGGCTCTGCTATTGCCTGTTGGAGAATCTCGATGGATTGGTTATCGAAGACCGTGGGCGGTGAGGCTCCGAATGTTTGAGCGCGGTCGTTCCAATTGCTAAAGGGCGCAGAACCGCGTGAGAATAAAAGGCCTACGATGGGGAGTTTCATTCTGGACAGATGGTTTCTATTGATTATGATGAAGTTGAGATAGAGTACAAGAAAAGACCTGGAGATGTGTTGTAGCCCGTGGAATCATCATGTGCAATTTTGCCTTAATCTTTTATTTAGAGACCTAAAGATTTCGAGATCTAGATAGAGGAGGCTCTCGAGGAAACGTTTTTCGCCCCGGGCGGAGCAGATCTTGCCGATCTTGTCAGCCCTACGCCCGGTAGATATCTGGGGTATGCGATACCATTACGTGCGCCCAGACACTATGTGATACTTGAGATATCACTTCTAGTCGTGGTGTGAATTTACATGTATGGATGACTGGCCAGTCGTAGTGGGAGGGAAATGGCTGCTTGGCATTGGCAGACGTCAAAATGCTAAGACAGAGGCAACCTCCAGAGCCGAACGCCACACCGAATCGTTCGAACTGACAGTAATCCGATTGAGACCGCGTCCAGTCAGGCCCCAATTACCTTGACATAATATCTGAAAGGGTTTCCTCTGACGACCCTGACAGCCTAGACTGCAAGGCAAATCAATCAGCTGTGATCGAGGAGTGATATGAAGAGAACCTATACCCCCGAAAATGGGTGACGCGTGAACTTGCCGACGGCTCTCTTCTGATGATTGAGGGGGAAAATCTGTTCATGTACGTACGAGTACCATTCAGTTGTATCTAGCACCCAAGTGAAACGATGAGCAAGGAAATGGTCATTCGGGACATCGTCCATAAGGAGTCGAAAATGTAGTCAGTGTAGCATTAGCCTGCTGTGTCCAGACGCTGGCATTCATGAGTAGATATATAGAATTATTCATTGCAGCTTCAGTCCTTCAGTTACCAGTCTTTCTGGCCCTTCATTGGCGCCCGACTCACTCCTTCTGCCCGTATCCAATAAAAGACCTCAAATCGATGAGTGAAGACGATATGAGTCACGTCAAGGATACAAAGATTGCAACTCAATGCCAGATGCGACGCGGTGGAAGGATAAGAGAATCTATAGGTTGTAGGAAAGCTCAATGCCAGATCTGTAATCTTTCCACCGCGTAGATAGATGCCTTCCCGGGCCCAACTCTTCTTTGGCAAAGCCTACCACCAGAGCAGTCAGTATCAGTCCATTAGAGATCAAGACCTCAAATTAACTCATCGATAGATGACCTCACGACTCTGGTGATCCTGTTTCGAGTATGGATACTCATCTTCTTCGTCCCGTACCATTCGGAAGTTCCCCCCACGCAGGTTCAAATCTAGAACTCGACCGACCTCGGTACGGCCGGCGTGTCATCCGATAGTTCGCAACACAGGGTAGCAACCGGCAAGATGGCCCCCGGAGCCCGAAGGGGGGATCGTCCCGTGCCTTGCGTAAGGGTCAGGGCCAGGGCTAAAAGGGAGAAAGAGAACCTCTTTTTCGGGGAGGGAGTGGGTCACAGGGTTGGGCTGGAAATTGAAAAGTCCTTATCCATGAATCCCAGCCCAGCGAACTACGTGTAACGGTCGAATTCGTTTTGCTTTTCCGTATTGCCGGGGCAGATCTTGGTAAAATTCTCGCCGATTACGGTCGACGGATGGGCTGGTCATCGAAAACTACGGACGAACTATGTGATTCTGACGTGAACGACCCATTTCGATATCGATAATTCTCCGGCATCATCGGCCGGGTAAGAGGGAGTTGCAGAGCCGGATGGACATGAGTGAAGGGGCGACGAGCCGGGGAGAAGCGGGAACTTGGAAGTGAAGGGGTCAGAAAAGTTTAAAAGATTGGATGAGTCTTGGTATCTCGGAAGAAGCAACGAGAGGGCCTGTTTGTCGAGGGCAGGGCGAGACAAGTTAAGGCGCTGAAGGAAGGAAGAAAGAAAAGGGTATTATTCAGGCAAAAAGGTCGGAGATGGGTCGACCGTGATGAAGATGGCGGGTTGCAGGGAACGAGTCTCTCTCTTCTCGAGTTCTTTTGAAGAGATTGCGGAACGTCTCACTTGAAACTTTCCAATCTCAGACGTTTCGATTTATTCCTTGTCTCTTAACTCTCGCCTCTTTCCCTTTCTGCCTCTTGTCATTTCTGCATTCGGTATTCTGCATTCCAAAGGAAGGGGGGGAAAAGTGGGAAAGCATTTGATCCGCGGCTTCCACGAACCGGCGATGCCGCGATGCATGGCCGAGATTACGGATACTGGGTAGAGAGACATTTCCAGTTCGTGGTGTACAGAGTATTGTGCGCTGGCAGAATTCTGGGAATCATATCCTTCGAATCATCGTCACACGTGGTTGTTGCTTTTCTGGAAACTTTCTGGATGGGGAGGGGTTACACCCTCGACGGGGTTAGCAAGGCTGGGTTGCGTTTTCGTTGCTTATTCTTGCCAGACTAGGTACCAAACTAATACCGCTCACACGACCCTGTCACCTTCAACTCCTTTTCGGAGGCAGGCAGACACATTCTAAGATGCTAGGGACGTGGTGACTTGGATGTGCGTGGTGTAGGACTCGGCAGAACGTTCTTCGAGGAGAGGAAGAAAAACCTCATGCTCTGAGATCCACAACAGATAGAGAGAGGCCGCGCGCGTGAGAGAAAAGGTCTTTGGGTACAACGGCGGAGACAGAACGGTTCTATTGCATTGATGGAGGTCTTCCTGCCATCCGATGTTTCGTGGCCCTGTCTGTGTTGGATCACCTGTTCATCCCACAATGGCAAAGCCCCCCTGCACTGAGATGTCTTGTCTCCCTCTGTCATTGTCTCGAGTCTCAAGTCTCTCTTTGCCTTGCTGCCAGACCGGTGATAGACGCGCCCACATACAGACCACATGACGAGCATGCGGCACAGCAGCACATGGATTACACGAGACAGAAATGCACTGTGAGATATGCACGGGCGATCAACGACGCGAGGGTACGCACAACGGCGCGACGACAAGGCATTGGGGCATGCGACCTTATACTTCTTTCCCCCTCCACCTCGGACGTCCACAAAGTCGGCGTCGATTTGTGATCTCACAACCGAATGGGATTGAGACGGTGGGTGAGGATGGTGGCTGCTGACTTTCCATCGTTCGTCTGCGTGGGCTTTTATGCGGGATGCTTATGCTGCAGAAGGGGGAGTGGCAGAAATTTGACGGATCATCTAATGCAAGCCCATCCAGCCACATCACTGTGTACGATGCAGCGAGCCTCCGGTTTAAGAAATGTTACCGCCATCGAGATCGGTAGAATATCACATATGCCGCCGTACACGACTCGATGACTCCCCTCCACCACGGCTCGATTCCAGACGGAGGGAACAGCAACAGAGAGATCTCGCGATCTCACGATCGATATGGTCAAATGTCCGACCACGCTTTGTTCCAGTCGGCATCAAATTTCTCCGAGCCAATGAAGACGGAGGGTGACAGCACATCGCGGAGCCGAAGTGGACGGAGTATCCAGAAAGGAAGCCCAAGGGGGGGACGTGGTGGGCAGATGAAGATCCCAAGATCGTGGCATGCGAGCGCAAGGCCATCCGAAGGAGGGGGGGTCCCGAGGACAGCGGCGCCAACAAAACAACGCACAGATGTTGCGAAAATGATGTGTCTTTTTGGGGACAATGTTCATGATCCTTGCTGTTGAGCAGGGATATGTGCTCATGAAGGGATGGGTAGCAGGGGTGAGTGATGGTAGGACGGCGTTCCATATCCTTGAGATAATTGCTTTTTCTTGCATTTTTCTTTAACCAGAGTTTTTCTGCTTGTCTTTGGAGGGAAGAAGAATTGAGAGAGATTCGGTCTCGGATTTTGGGGGCCTGGTGTACTGGCTCAAGGTGACTGATACATGAAATCGGTTACGATGGCCTGAAGCAGTTCAAGATCATCTCTGGTTGATCGATCATGTCGCTATCCGAGACTCAAGCACCGGGGGTAACTAGGAGACTGTGACGTCTCTTGAGGCAAGGAGGCGGTTGGGCTGAGGCTCAACTAGAGGCGTTTAGAAGGCGTTCAGGGAGCCCAAATATTAAACATGGCGATTTCAGATCCAGATTCACCATGTATGGAAAAGGTTTGACAGGACGGAAGCTCCCGTTAGACGGCGTCCGATCTAAAGTGCTTGGTAGTCTACCAGGGCAGTAGGGGGAAATGAAGTGGAACGGGGGCGGCCAGATTTGATATCGAAAAGAAAGGAAACGAAAGGAAGCTATGAACGGGAGGACGGTAAGCTCCGGGATAGAAGCCATGTACCTATTTGACTTCTCTGATGACGTCCCGAGCAGTTTCGATCGAGTCAGTAATGGAATTTTGTTTTCGATAGTATCCGCTGGATCGATGCGCGGGTACGTCCGTAGATGAACGGCTTCTGACGTGGCTGGCTGGCGGGCAAACGTGAACCCAAAAAATGTCTCTATCCACGTGCCAACCTGCATCTGAAGATCGGCAATACACCATGTCATTGCCACGCACAGTTTTCAGTTGTGAATCAGACTGGGAGGCGAACCAGGAGGATATGAGGAACGACTGGGATGAAGGGTGCCGGGAGACGTTGAAGGCGTGGCACGCCAAGTCCTTGGTCGAACGAGAATCGCATGGTAGATACCGCGCGAGGGACCAAGAGGTTGGGCAGGACGTTGATGCAGTTCCGAATCGAGTGTTTGAAGCATGGTATGCCGTGATAGGTGGACGGCATAGTGACATACTGCTTGGAATCATTATTACTGAATCGGGATGATCAGATGGTGCCGTCAAGGATAAGAGATCTGGAGATCTGAGCGAAGTAATGTTTCCTTCTTTTACTGTCTCGTACAGCCGTACCTACTTTTGATGCGAGAGTTTTGGACCGTCAAAAGTCTATCATACTTACTCGTGTAGGCGCCACGATTCTGTGTTCGACGGCGCGCATACGTGGCTTACACTACCTACGTATTCGGGAGATGGATGGTGGTCAGGTTCAGAGATGGGGATCTGCCGCAGGGGAGAGACGAAAAGTACAGGGACATGGGGGAGAATCTGTTCGGGGAATGAGGGGTCCCCGGTTCCGCGGCCGGGAT